GAGAATTATCATGGCGTTCGAGAGCAAGAACAGGCTACACCATGGACGGCTTCACATAGTTGTTGCATCATGAACGGCATGGCGCTCAGCAACCTCCTAAATGGTTATATGCAGATTTGCTGAAGCAAGAAATGATCGAGGTCTACACATCACCGACAAAGCAGTTTGGTTCAAGAGTCGGACTTTGGTGAATTGTGGCCTCAATTGGTTGAAGCAGACTTCAAGGACATACAGAACTACGTAAAGCATGACTGTTTCGGGCCCGACGTTTAAGTCTTTAGTGAACAGCGAGAACCGCATTGGCGCGTCATGGGTCAGACGCTGGATGTGAAGGAGAACTGGGTCTTCCGTTCACGATTATGTGGCCGATCCTTTCTAAACAATGAAGAAAAGGCAACTGATAGACATTCATCCGTGGCGGCAAGATTTGAAGCGGAAAGCTGGGACATCTCATCAGCATGTCTTCAAAGACTGCGCTTTCGAGAACTTGGTCTCGATGCGCGAGTAGAACGCGAAGTTTGTATTGCTGCATTGGTTAACGTTTGGCGACATCTAAAGAAGCTTCCGGAGATATTCGCCAATATTCCTGCCGACGCTTTGACACCGCAGGGTGTTTCTCACAGATGCAGGACTACCCACTCTCGGGTGAGATCGGATTGCAAGGTTTGCGGAAGAACAAGAAGAATGGCAACATGACTATTACCAGCGTGCTTGCAGTAAACATCACGTAGGCGCTTTCAGAGCACAGCCTGGTGAACACAAATAGGCACGAAAAGCAGAGCTGTCAATAGAACAATGAGTACATGCTCAAGGTTAACTTCGAGGCTTGTTCTGGCATGATTGGATCACTTCAGCCGAACATTATAACAGTAGTTTCGGTATGTTTGTGTTTTCCTCTGGGCTTTCGAATAAAGCCGTATATGTAGAAGCACATCGTCAGAGTGGGAATTCAAATATAATCCCAGTCGGTATAGAGTTGCTTGGGACTTCTGAGGCTCTTCGGAAGGCACCTACGTTCGCCACGGCTGGACGCTAGCTCATCCTGTTTGCTGCTGGGTACGTTTGTCCCCATGTCCGCACAACTGCTCCTCCGATGTGCCACATACCGCTGGAACGCGGGACCAAGTGCGGAACAGCCCGCTCCTCTTCCCCCTCCTCCTCCTCCTCCTCCTTCCTCCGCGTTCCTTCTCCCTCCTCCTTCCTCCTCCTTCCCCCTCCTTCCTCCTCCTCGAGCACTGCCCCCTCCCTCCTCCTCCACCTCCTCCTCCTCCTCTTCCTCCTCCTCCTGCCTCCTCCTTCCTCCTCCTCCTTCCTCCTCCTTCCTCCTCCTTCCTCCTCCTTCCTCCTCCTTCCCCTCCCTCCTCCTCCTCGAACACTGCCCCCTCCGTGCCATCTGGCCGCCCGCGGCAACCTCGGGCGGGCACGGCGGCGCAGAGCCCCTCGGGATAATAAGGACCCGGCGGGGGAGCCGCATACCTGGGCGGGGAGGAGGAGGAGGGGGAGGAGGAGGAACAGGAGGAGGAGGAGGAGGGGGAGGAGGAGGGGGATGAGGAGGAGGAGGTGGAGGAGGAGGAAGAGGAGGAGGAGGAGGAGGAGAAAAAGGAGGAGGAGGGAGGAGGACCAGCACATCTGACTGAGTTTTGTTTGTCTTGCTTGCTGTACTTCCCCTAGCGCATCCCGCGCTTCCTCGATGAGAATCTCAAGGGTGATGGGGGGGCTGAAACAAGGCCTGCTACGCATGCCTCCTTCGGGGTGGCGGCAGGTCTTGAAACAGTTCAGGGCTGCGACCTTATTATTGCTGGTGGGGCGCCCAAGGCATTCATTCTTAAACGCCCTGGGGAAGAATTCGCTGTAAGCGCCACAAGCCCAGCAGGCCAAAACGCAGCTGTCATTATCGAGACGGTCGGAAACATATAGGTCGTGCCCATGCCTTTGCTCAGAAAGGGCCGACAGGCTCGCACAGTGCCCAGGACAGGTCTGGGCGTCTCGTCTTACACGCGCGGCCTCTGAGCGTGCTCGGACTCGGCAGAGTTCGCACATCCAGAGGCCCTCTTCTACTACAACCCACTGGTGGGCGCCTCCCTTTTTCGTGGTCGCCCTCGCGAGGGTCGCCACAATCGGCCCCAGGGACCGCAGGAAGGTCGGAGGTCGAAGGCAGGAGGGGGGCAAGCAGGGCGGCGCATACCAGGGGGGCCCTTTCGGGCTTGAAGCTGGGCCCTTCGCAGGCCTTGCTGCCAGGTTTTGGGGCGATCGCGTGCCAGGTCGGCAGGCCTTTCGCGAGAAACCGCAAAAAAAAAAAACGCAGCAGGAAACCGTGGCTCGCGTCAAAATCTTGGGCCTCCGCGGCCGAGGGCCCTCCAGCTTTACTGGCAGCGGCGTTCGCAAGTCTATCGGCTGTATCATTTCCCACGGCCAGGTATTTCTCCCTGGGTCCGTTAGGTAAAGTTTCTAACTCCTGATGGGCTTTTACTTTACATTTTCTAGGAAGGGCCCCCCCCACTGTATTTACCCTTTGCGAGCAGCTCTAACCCTGCATACATATTCTTCCAATCGAAACCCGCCTGGCCATATTTGGCTATGGCCCCTAGGTGGTCCGAATGAATGCAGGTGACACGGGGGCGCATATGGGCGACTGCCATGGCTGGGTGCTCGGTTGCTGGCGAGGTTGCCGGCAGCAGTTCTCCCGTCTGCCCCGAGAGGTGCGCCCTGCATTCGCCGTCGTCGTCTAGCGCGGTAACAGCCCATCCAGTCTGGCGCCAGATCGGGGGCCCCTGTTTGAAACAACCTCCGTCAACGACAACTTCCCCAGCCATCGCGACCTCGAGAGGATCACCGTTTCTCCCTCGGGGCGCTTTATGCAGGCCGGGGGCAAAAACTGGAAACCACGGGCGAGGGGAGCTGCTCTGGGGTACCCTTCCATATGCGATTCATGGGGGGAGGTCAGCATCTCACTCCTCAGGTTGAAGACCAGGGGGCGCTCGAACCTATGCGTCATGTCGTCTCTCTCGCATCCGCAAGGGCACGTCGCGTCAATGTCGTATCCTGCTGCAGCAAGTCTAGTTCGGGTCCACAAACATTGAGCGAGGTAGGACATCAAGCTGCTCTTTTCGGAGTTGGAGAGGGAGGGATCGGCGAGGACCTGTCTGGCGGCAGAGGCGTCCAACTTTTCCTGCGGTCGACCCATCTTCTCTGCCGCCTTCTTCTCGAGGTTCGCCTTCCAGGCCTCCCCGAGATGAAACTTCAGAAGCGCTGGCGGCGCACGCGTAAGCTGGAGGATCAGGCCCTCGGAGGTCTCGATCTCAACGGGGGGCCTCAAGGTCCAGTTGATCCTCTGGAGGCTCAACAAGGTGGCTCCTGAGGGTCCTCGGCAAGTTGTCCATTTCTTGGGGGGGGGGGGGGGGGGGGGGGGGCATTCTTTCGATGTTCGTGACTTTGTCTCGGAACTCGCTGTTCGCCATCCCCAAAAACTTTGGTTGAGTAGAAAGCCTCCAGACCATTAATCCGTAGTAGATCACTGGGCCCAACGCAGCCTTCCACGTCGGGCCCCCCAAGAGGCACAGGCAAATGGAACGGGGTCTCGCGTGGCTTCGGGGCCCAACAATGTTGATATATATGGTTTGGCTTTCACGGACCTCCTTGTTTGTAAGCTCCACCACCTCCGTTCCATAATGATTGGCTTGGTCCAAGCCTGTTCGGTACAGCTTGCGCGTGTCTGCCCCTGCCTGCTTTAGCGCAATCAGCTTGCGCTTGCGGGATCTCAACTTGGCAGAACGTCCGCGGAGTGCGGCTCTTCCTCGGTGAGAACGAGTCCGCCCTCCCGCCGTGCAATCGATGCCTAGGTTGGCTGCCGAGTCTGTCCGCTCTTCCGTCTGGGGTCCTGCAAGTGGCCCCAGGGCACGCACAAGGGGTTTCCTGACCGACTGCGGCGGCGCGAGGATGGCCGACTTGTGTTTGGCGATTTTGCATCCCAGGTCGATTTCGATCGCCCCTTTCATGCTGGAGGCGGCGGGGGAGAGGTTTGCAACTAGGTTCTTGGGGCTCTCATCTTGGCTCTGGAGGAGGAGGTCATCTATGAACATGTGGAGGTCAATATTCGGATTGTCTTGGACCCAGACGCCGAGCGGGACAAGGCAAAACGCCTGGGCGACGAACGTAGCGAAGCTGCAGCCCGCTGGAATTCCGCACTGCGGGCTGCCCACAAACGTCGCGAGACCTTGGCTCGCTACAAGCCTCGGTCCTCCATACTGCTTACAAATCAAGGTGGCAATGGCCGGGCTTGAAATTGGTTTCGACAGCTCGGGCAACCACTTAGCACGACCGATATGATCGTAATAGTTCGAAAGGTCCCAGAGGATGGCTGCCGTGAGCCTGGCGGTTCCTTCATAGTGGGCCGACTCGGCCTGCAAAGCTTGTAGGTGCACGGTTTCCAGGATTCCTCGGCCCGACTGGTGGGCCAGGTAGGGGCGTCGGTTCTTTGTCTCCCATCCCCTGGCGATGGGTTGTCGCATTCGGGCCCAGGTCCTCCAGATTGCTGTCATCAGACCAATGCCATGATGAGTGGGACTCTCTGTCGCCTCCTGCTGTTTATGCTTGGGAATCAGAGTCGCGACGGTAGCTCTCGCCTGCAACGGGAAGATCCCCGCCGCCTCGCAAGCGTTGAGGAAGCGGGCGACGAGCTCACGCTCTGTCAGCGGCAGTAGGGAGAAATGCTCAGGGTGAAAGCCATCGTAGATGGACGCCGTGTCGCGGCTGAAAGTCCTGGAAGCCTGGAGGACACATTCGGCGGTGATCGGGGGAAGCTCTCTCAGAGCCTCGGGGTCGGGACGCTTCTGTCGGCGTCTGCGTTCTTGAGGTTCTGTCGTCCAGATACTGGCTAATCTATCGGCCTCGGCGAACAGCTGCTCGGACGGTCGCCCTGTCCATCTACCTTCACCTTGTGTCCAAATTCTCTGAGGTCTCCATGTCGAAAGGTCGTTCGCCCCTTTGTGGCCCCAGCCGACCCCCCTTTTCATGCTGGTCTTGGCCCGGTCTTTCCACTCGTTGGCCTCCGATGTTTTGTCCCGTTGGATCTCTCGGTTCAGGGCTTTGTCGGCGCCGTCGGAAAACGCATCGAAGATTTCGCGGGCCACGGCCGTACTCAGGTTGCCGTTCTGAGCATCCAGCAGCACCGTCTGGGCCGCGACTTTGATGGCTCCCAAGAGGGCCCCCAGGTCCTCGTTTTCGTCGAAAGCGTTCGGGTGGGACTGGGGGTCCTCAGAGGCATTCTGGAAATCGAGGTTCTGGAAATCGTGCTTATCTAAAGCTCGGCGCATGTCCGTCAGCTTGTTCTTGAGCCAACGGAGAGGCCCCGCAAACGATCGCCAACTACATCTATGACACCCTTCGGCTTCCCGCGCTGGCACCCATTTGATCTGGGCCTCTTGGCCCCGAACTCTTTTGCTTTTCAAGGGGGCATCCGTAATCGTGCTTATGTGGTCCACCAGGTCCGTCGCGGGCGTCTGGTAGGTTTCGTCAAGGGCGCCCTCGAGCTCACTGAAGTCCAGCTTCTGGGCCATGAATCCTTCCATCTGGTCCAGGGCGGCGCCTGATTTAATCCATTCAGCAGTTTGCTGCAGAGGCCCCACGGGCGTCTTGGTCGGGAGCTTCTGGGGCTTGACCAGCACGGGAACTAAGAAGGGCGACCCCGCGATCAGATCAAAGTGCACGGGCCTGTGGGGGCTGAGGGGGCACTGCCTGAGGACCACGGGCTCTCGCGCGTAGTCTTTGAAGCGCTTGGAGACAAGGAAACAGTCCATGAAGGTCTTAGTCTTCTTGGTTAGAGGGTCAGCTCCGACGGAGCCAGCACGCATGTTCCTGTTCTTGAACAGTAGCCGGAGCGGAGGAGCTTGGAAGGAGGGAGATTGAAATCGCCTGCTAGCACCAACGGTAGTCGGTGCTCCTGCGCCAGCTGCGCGACCCGCGCCAGCAAGTTAAGGTTGGTCTCGTTCTGGCCTACCTTGTCTTCTGAATAGACGGAGCATAGGAGAAACTGAGCGTGTCCTGGCACCTCTAGAGCCACAGCGGCGACTCTCCCTGACGGCGTGTCGGCCTCGAAATTGATCTCAACAACCCCGAGATCGAATCCCTGACGTATTAGGATGGCGGTTCCTTGAATGACTGCCCCGCAATCAGAACGGACCCCTGCCGAGATTACGGCATGCCAACCCCATTTCGCACACCGCTAGATAGCTTCCAAAACTTCGGCCCCTTGTAACCTGGTTTCTTGGCAACGAGCGATCTGAAATTGTCGGGTCTCCGAGTCGGACTTGACAAAAGTCTTGACGCTGCCCTAACAACTGCCGTTAATTGAAACGATTCGAATGTTACCCACCTGACTTGCTGGCCTCATCCGCTGCGCTGGCGGCCTTCCCCGCCTTCTCCTGCGGGGCGCGCTGGCGGAGGCGGCGGGCCGCGTCGGCGGCCGCTGGCCCCACCGCTCCATCAGCCTGGAGCTGGGTAGCCGCCTCGAGCGCCTGGGAGATCCTCTTGGCGCCTGCCGCCAAGCCGAGGGGCCCCTTGGTGTCCATGAGCTCCATTTCATCGGACTCGTGCCCCGCAGGCTTGTCGGTGGCCTGCTGCTCGACCTTGATCGGCGGCTCGGCTGCCGGCGACGAGGCCGTCGCGCTGGCGCTGGTGGCAGCATCTGGTGGTTCGGCCGCCTGGCTCGCGGCGGCTGCTGCGGCCCTGTTGTACTCACTGTTGAGCTCCGCGGCCATGGCGTTGATCTTCTGCTGGAACTCGGCTGAATACGCCATGCCGCCGAACTTCTGCTGGACGAAGGCTGCGAGGGTACCTGTTGCCGCTGGGCTTGCGTGTTTCGCCACTGCCGCCGTTGCCGCCACCTTGAGCTGGCTCTCCAGCTGCTGGATCTCAATCTGGGTTTCACTGCATTCTTTGGAAATCTCAACGTACTTGGATGAGAGGGACTCCACCTTCTCGATGTACCATTCTGCATCGCGTTGCTTTCCCGCGAGGCGCTCTCTCTGGGCCGCGGGCTGGGCGTTGAGGCTCTGAGTCTGCTGGTCTGGCAACTTGGAGGCCAGCGCCGCCGCTTTCGCCGCCTTGAGCTCCTCCTGCGCCCGCTTGTAGTGGGGCCCCGCGACGCCCTCGATGCTCTTCCAGAAGGCGGCCGCTTTGATGCATACGGTGAAGGGGTCCAGCTCGCTTGCGCCCAAGGCGGGCGCGTCCGCCGCAGCCTCCTCGACCGTAACTGTACTGCGAGACCAACGGTTGGCTCGGCTCTTCGAGGTGGAGCGCGACGGAGTCTGGCTGCTTGGTGCTGCCGGGGAGGCTTCAAAACTGGCACCGCACTTCCCACAATGGCGGTGCTGGGGATCTGACCACGACCATCCCCCACATGACGGCGTGCGGCAGACCTGGTAGCTCCTCGGCGCTCGTGACTGGCTCCGCGGCGTGCGAAGATCGCGCACCTCGCGATCTCTGCGGCGGGCGCCTGCGGACGGCGCGTCGCGCCCCATGCCGCCAGCGCCGCGAGGAGGCAAGCAGCAGCAAGGAGGCGGAGGCTATGGCCTCCCCTGGGGGCCTCTCGAAAACGGGCCGTGGCGCGCAGGCTGGTCGAGGCCGCCAGGCCTGAGGAAGGGGCTGCCCTTCCACCTCGACCTCGGGCCTCGGGAGTCGGGACGGGGAGGAGTTCCCGTCTTGAGCCAAAACGGCTACGGGAGGAGGGGGGAGGAGGAGGAGCAGCAGCAGCAACAGGAGGGGGAGGGGAACAGGAGGAGCAGCAGCAGCAGGAGGTGGAGGAGGAGGAGGAGGAGGAGGAGGGGGAGGGGGAGCTGCGCACCTGGGAAGAAGCGAAGGAGGAAGGGGAGGAGGAGGAAGAGGAGGAGGAGGAGGTGGAGGAGGAGAAGGGGGAGGAGGAGGAGGAGGAGGAGGAGGAGGAGGAGGAGGAGGAGGAGGAGGAGGGGGAGGAGGAGGAGAAGGAGGAGGAGATGGAGGGATGCGTTTGGCCGACCAGCAGCACGTCAGAGCTACATCACTAGTCAATGCCAGGTCAGAAGGGGTTCTCTTAGACCCGCTACCGTCGTTGCAGTAGATGCACCCCAGCTACATCAATGAATGGTCACCATGTAGGCTGCAGGGGAAATGGCCCTGTGGAAATGGCCATCCCAGCATATCTCCCCAGGAACTTGATTATCGCAGGCTTTGGACCCCCGCTGTCGCTAAATCGTATCCCAGAGGGCTCTGTACGTGCCGAACATAAACCCTTCTGGAGGGTATACGCGCTACGCTCCCCCATGCTTCTTCCACCTCGGGAGCACCGCTACGACTCTCGAGTGGAGCCTTGGACATGAGTGAGCCAGGTGCTCTGAGCAGGCCTTGTGCAGTCAGCTGGGCAATGGGGCGACTGATGATGGGTGAGAGAAACTCGTGGGGATCTGACCTTACTTCGCCCCCTCGGACCCTCTCTACATTGGAGACGCTGCTTTGGACTGTATGCTACACGGTGACCGTGTGACGGCCAGTGGCGGGTGAATGATTCACCTGTGCGGCAGTGCTTACACTGCCATACCGAACTCGCGAACTGAAAGCTTCTCCCGATGACTGGCCCTGCGGCTCAAGAACTGCTGCACCAAAGGGCAACGCCCGTGTGCACTCACACGAACAACACGTAATAAGCTGTGGGGGGGGGGGGGGGCACACTGCCATGCATCAGGCGCCCGTCATCGCGGACAGAAATAAGGGAGTTGCTCTTGGGGGGACGGACCTCTCGCTGCACCCAGCGCCCTCTACGTTTCCCTTGCTATCTGGTGCGCCGCAGGCAATATTCAATGCGCTGCTGAGTCATGTGGTGCGGCATGTCTGCTGCTCGCCACCTGCGCCAAGTTTTTTGGTCGGCGGGTCGAGAGCGAGCCTCTTCCGGTTAAGAGCTAGGCGGGCCGCGCAAAGCACTAATAGACAGGGCGCCCACCTGCGCCAAGTGGTGCAGGCAGAGCGGCTCGCACACGCGCGCTTGCTGATGCTGCCGCTGTTTCTCCACCCTCTCAGTGTCTTCCCGGCTCTGTGGCTGGACTTCGACCCGTCAGCCTTTCGACCGACCGACCGAGGACGTGGAGGAGGAGGAAGGGAAGGTGGAGGAGGAGGAGGAGGAGGTTCGACATTCGAGCATCGATGCTTTGAAGGATGTCGAACCCCTTTCCGGGCCTCAGGGGAGCCTCTCGTGGCCCAGGCGGATCCGCCGCGAAACTCTGATCAGAACGCACCCACGGAGAGGTCTAAAGAGCGTTGCGAGGGAGGGGGCATAGGAGGAGGAGAAGGAGGAGGAGGAGCAGGAGCAGGAGCAGGAGCAGGAGAAGGAGGAGGAGACGGAGGAGAAGTAGGGGGAGGGGAAGGAGGGCGAGACTGGAGGGGGAGGAGGAGTGGAGGAGGAGGAGGAGGAGGAGGGAGGAGGAGGAGGAGTGAGTAGGAGAGGAGAGGAAGGAGGAGGGGGAGGAGGAGGAAGGAGGAGGGGATGAAGAGAGGATGAGAAGGAGGAGGAGGAAAAGGAAGGAGGAGCAGAGGAGGAGTGGAGAAGGAGAGAGGAGGAGAAAAAGGAGAGGAGGAGGGGAGGCGGGAGGGGACGGCAGCAGGAGGAGGAGAGAAGGAGGAGAAGGAGGAGGAGGGAGGAGGAGGACGGAGAGAGAAGAATGAGGAGGAGGAGGAGGAGGAGGAGGAGGAGGAGGAGGAGGAGGAGGAAGAGGAGGAGGAGGAGGAGAGTGGGGAGGGAGGATGAGGAGGAGGAGGAGGAGGAGGAGGAGGAGGAGGAGGAGGAGGAGAAGGAGGAGGAGGAGGAGCACCAGGAGGAGGGAGGGAAGAGGAGGAGGACGAGGAGGAGGAGCAGGAGGAGGAGGAGGAGGAGGAGGAGGGGGAGAAGTAGGACGAGAGGAGGAGGAGGACGTGAGGAGGGGTGGGGGGGGGGGGAAACGTGATCAGGAGGAGGAGGGCAGGAGGAGGATGAGGAGGAGGAGGAGGAGGAGAAGTAGCAGGAAGGAGAGGAGGGAAAAGGAGGAGGAGGAGGAGGAGAAGGAGGAGGGGGAGGTGGAGGAGGAGGAGAGGAGGGAGGAGGAGGTGGAGGAGAGGAGGCGGAAAGAGGGGAGGAGGAGGAGGAGGAGGAGGAGGAGCAGGAGGGGGGAGGAGGAGGCCGAGGAGGAGGAGCAGGAGGAGGAGGGTAGGAGGAGCAGGAGGAGTCATGAGGAGGACAGGAGGAGGGGATAGGAAGAGAGGAAGAGAAGGAGAACGAGGAGGAGAAGGAGGAGAAGAAGGAGAAGGAGAGGAGGAAGAAGGAGGAGGA